TGAATGGCCAATTGGAATAATTGCAGACTTCTGGCAAAGGATGTGACAATAATAAAAAAAAAGAAACTGGGATCTCTTGCTGCAAACGTTAGGTCGTCTAGGTCCTCTCTGATTCTGTGGTCTTTGATGTGGATACAATGAAACTTCGCCAAGGGCTACAGAACACGTCGCCGATGTGTTAATGAAACCGCGAATTGTTTAACATCCGTTTTGTTTGTTCAACCCAGGCCGTTGCCAAGTTCGCATCAGCATCGGGATAATTTATGAACGAGCGAGTAAAAAAAGTGTATAAAACACAGCAGCATAATTTTATAGGTAATCTGTTTACCTCGTCATATAACGGGATGCAACAATATTTCATACAATATGATGTGTTTGCGGCGGCGGCGGCGTGCCGTTCATTACCGTAATTTCCATATGTAGATACACAATATGGCGGCAGAGAAACGGTAAGCCTCAATCCAAACAGATTAAGCTCCTACTAAGTTTATAACATCCTTGGAAATTAATTTTAGCAAGGGTTAACCGTTTACGTCTGGATATTGGAAAATATTCTTTATATATCGTAGAGGGAGGGCGTTTGGGTTTTAGAAATCGCACCGATCTAAATACCGCAGAGCATTGGGAAAAATTCTTGACGGTTTTTTCGACCGTAAACCCTTAAGTTTACGATACGTATTTACAAAAATTGGCAGAAACGAGCCATTTTTAATAAATTACGACCCTTTTCCGATGCCCTTTTCATACATTTTTTTTAACGAATCGACGATTAGGTAATCGCGTGACGTGTACGACATATTTATTATTCACTAAAAATGCAGTTACTTTTCGAAAATAAATTTATGTCAAGTTAGTTGCTACAAATTCATTAAAACATTGGCATGTTAGAGTAAACGTAAAATAAAACATTCCCTTTCCCAGTACACAGCAAATGAAGTCACGAAGTTCAACATAGAAAAAGGGTCATCGTGAAAGTCTGATTTATTAGTGTAATTGAACTATGGCAACTTCTAGTTTCGAAAATACACGTTATTTTAACACGAAATGTCACGATATACCTACCAATTTTATAACCGCCGCGCCGTTCCGATAAATAACCCTAAGCACTCACGTTAACTTTTTTTGTGTATTGAATTGCAAATGTACATGTACAAGCGCTCCATGATTTTTGCCCTTAAAATGCATAATAAATTGCCATTTCACTTAAGTAGAAGTTATTGGAAAAGTTGGCAATAAATAATATAATAAAAAACTTATTTTTGGCATCGGTTTTGTCCTTTGATGAGAAAACTTATCGTAGTTTAGTGGTACAAGAGGACGATGGAGGCGACGATTATCTCCAAGATGCGTTCTTATATTTCTGGAAGCTGCAAACGACTTTAGCGGAAAAGAGGCACATTACCTTTCGCCAAAGCTATTTAGAGTCGACATTATAAACAGCAGACGTAACCGCCGTAAGCTATTCAAACCATGCCCATTACCAAGTTATATTTTATTCCCTTCGAGATTATTTTTCCTCTCGCGAATCTGTCTTCTATTGTTATAGCTTTATAGACACTTAAACGCAAAGTTTCTCTAAATGCATTTATGACATTATAACAATCCGTTAGCCACCCTCTGTTTATTCGGCGTTGCTCTTTCAACTTTTACAAAGCTACGCACGCGAAAATGATATGCACGAATTTGCAATTTGCTAGAATATGTCAACTGTGTTTTATTTGAATGTTTCTCTATGCAAATTTACGGTGAGCGTTTTTTGTGTTATTTTATGACGCACGTACATAAAAGGCGAAATTCTCTGAAAAGGTTAAAAAGTGTTCATGTGAGAGAAAATCAACACAACGCATGCATAACAGAGAAAAACTTGACGAATACAAAATGGGACAATTTACTGTCGACAACAGGTCAGCCGAAAATTTCAGTGAAATGTAAACATGCGCATGCATTTTCAAATTTCCAGTTCAAAGGAAAAGCGAATTTATTTATCGAGGAAAAAAAAGCAATTTAAATAACTTTCAGAAAACTATCGGCTTTGCAAAACAAGACAGAATAGAGAAATTTTCAAAATTCTTCCGTAAATCGAGAAATAAACTACGGGACCAAAATCGTTTTAATTTTGTAATAAATTTCAAAAATTTCTATCCGGAAAATTATTATTTCGAGATAATATGTTTTTAATCACGAAAATAACAAATCCATCTAAAATTCACTACATAATTTTATAACAAATCACTCTTAGAGTTAATATTCAAAAAACGCTTAGTATTCCCAAAAGGCGATAGAGATCAAATGCTGACCTTCAAGGTCTTAGCGAAGAAGTTGAAGATAATTACCAAAATGCACAAATTTATTCTGTTCTCTTCCTAAATAAAAAAAACGCACTTTATGTCCAATTTTGGACACAAATGTGGCAAGCGGACTGGCCAAGAATGCGCGATTCTGCACGGAAATAAAGGCCTCATTGCTAACAAAAAGAGTTCGAGGGTTAGTTTGACCTACAGGTGTGTTATCCATTTAGAAGAAGCCATGGGGATTTCTGTGTATTATTTTCTCTATGTCCACTTTTAAATGACAAAAACTCTTCTGAAGGACACCTAATGTTATGCAACCAAAATAACTTAAAACAAATGAGCATCTGACTGTTATAGTAATTAATTGGAAGATTATTGTTTTGTCTTCTGTATTTTGATTTATTATTCAATGGAAGACAGTTTAAGAAACTTATTTTCTGTGTTGATGTGGTTTTTTAAATACGATGCACATAAGGGAAAGATATTGAACTTAAAATTTTAATTTTTGTGGAAGAGAAACCCATAAGAAACTTAAGGGAAATAGCAGAGGAATTTAATATCTCACCATAATCTTAAATCATTTACTGTCGGTTTTAATAAAATCCGGAATGCCAGTGCCAGTGCAGTGCATGTTATTTTCGTTGCATAAAATTAGGCGTCTTCCAGAAGCGTTTCTGTTATTTAAAAGTAGACACAGGAAATCGCTGTGTCTTCTACTACTAAATGAATAACACTAGATATTATAGATCAAACTATGTGCAAAGTGTCCGAATTGTTTTTAATTATTGAGTGTACTGACTTTTCTGATTTTTAATTTGTGTTTCTTTATTTTGACATTGTATGTGCCTCAAATTTTCATTTTCTACATTTTATGATTGTTCATTTCTCATCTTCGAATTTCTACGAAAGCTTCTTGAATTTCGTTGAAATTATGAACTTGTCATTTTATCAAATATTTAAGTTTTTCCTAATTTTTTCAATTATAAGCGTATTCGAACTAGCCATCAGTAACTAAAAGTATCAAGAAAAGTTAATCTTGTCATCAATGTAGTAGATTACATTTACATCGTCTATATCTAAAGAGTCCACATTCGTAATAATTCAAATTCTTTAAATAACGAAATTGCAGAACAGAGACATTCAAAGGACCCAATGTTTCTTGATGACATTCTTTCAGATTGTTTTTAATTTCCCCGATTGAAACTGTAATGATTTTTTTTAGAATTTCTACAAACTGCGAATTTTTTAAAATTTCAGTAGGGTAGGTTGGGGAGAGCTAATACACCACCACTCCAAGGTCACCACACGTTCAAGGTCAAGGTCATGATACTTCAAGGTCGAGGTCATGGTTACTTCAAGATTACCACACATTCAAGGTCTAGGTGATTACCACTCCTCAAGTACTGTACAGTTAAATGGGTCACCCATCATCAGGATACAAAAACACAAGTAATTTTTAACATAACTATTTATTTTTTAAGATACAGAGCTCATACTGTAAAAAATACAGATATACGGATTTGGTAGCACTGCAATGAAAAAGGGGGAGATCGAAACATAAATGGAAATTAAGTAAAACATTTGTTAACTCCATTATTGAATATATTTACATACTTACAAATTAAAATTGTTTTTTATATATACAAAGCCAATTACTAACTACATCTCGATATCTACTAATATATTCCCTACAAGATTCAGATAAACTAACCCTATTCCAATATGTGGTGTTATGTAATTCTAAATATCTAAAGCTAACATCCTTAAAATAATCACTATTAAATAAATCAATATTATGACTAACTATATTTAGACTATCTATTAAACTACTTACAAGAGTTTTACTTAAAATTAAATCACTAGTTATTTCATCTATTAATTCCACTACAGTGTCTTTGGCCTCCTCTTCAAACTTAACCAGATCAATGTCCGCTAGTTTATCATGTTTCCACTTCAACTCAGCTTGGACAATGACCGGTAAGTTGTCCCATTCCAAATGTCTGGGTAAGATTTTCTTTATGCATAGGTTATACAATGTATCACAATGCGTATCACAATGTGTAACACGTTTCCGCATACCTTGCATAATGTCCATGAATCTTCCCAGCTTAAATGTCCAATCATTGGAAAAGGACAGTCGCATAGACTCGAAGAAGTTGGAGACCAATAACAACTCTTCAAAATCAATATTATGGTGATCACTTAATTGATCTAAAGCGTCTTCACTTAAACTTAACCCCCATGCACTAATTATATCAGCCATTATACTCAAAGTTTGAAACGATTTATACACTGTAAGAATCGGGCGCGAACTGCTACGGTATACTATAGCATTATCTTTCGTTATATATCCAAATACCCCACTACTTGTCTGAGAGAGGTCACGAGAGGTCATTGACCTTGACCTTGACCTTGAACCAGGGGGGGGCTCCGCCCCCCCTGGACCCCCCCGGGACTCTCGCTTTCCACAGATCTCTCGCTTTATACTGATCTCTCGCCTTATATTGATCTCTCGCCTTATATTGATCTCTCGCTTTATATTGATCTCTCGCTTTATATTGATCTCTCGCTTTATATTAATCTCTCGCTTTACCGAGGTCTCTCGCTTTATATTGATCACTCGCATAACCCCGATCTCTCGCTTAACCCAGTTCTCTCGCTTAACCCCGATCTCTCGCTTAACCCAGATCTCTCGCTTTACCCATCTCAAAAAAAAAAAAAAAAAAAAAACATAACCATGAACTTTAGCGCAGACTAACAACTTCTATGGAATGCGGTTTAATGCATGCAGACAAGATCCTATATATACCAACACCTGCATTTACACTTCATTTCCATTTCTTACCTTTGTACCGGTAATAATGTCTCGCATTTTATCCAATTTCGCTATGTGTGGTGAATATACCGATTGTGTTACAGTGCAAAGTAGTGGTGCAATAGTGGGTGCTAGTGCCCCGAAAGTTAATATCCTTCAAAATGTGGTGGTTCGTGCTGCTAAGTCAACACGTCCATCCATTTTACGTGCATTATTGTCACGAGAGTCCATGGGGCAGAGCACACAAGTAGCTGAAGAGGGTTGTCACCCAATAGCACTTCCTTTACCTCCAATCCGCGATGATTCTTCTGCTAATGATTATAAGGACTTCCCGGAGACCTTAGAATGGTTAGTTGAGAGAACCCTATCGCCATCAAACATTTCTACTAAACCCCTTAATTTAGCAGAAATTTTTGATAACATAACACCTACACAGGATATAGTTAAGGTAAGTGATGTAGCAGAGCCTTTAGTAGTGTCTGATGCGGATTGTATTGTTATTTCAGATGATGAATGTTGTGCACATGCATCATCTGAAGTAACGATACCGTCCGTATCTATTACCTCTAAGGAAGTGTCATCATTTATTCTTGATGAGAATTGCATTGCAGCGCTCAATGAAGAGTGGTCGACCGCTTCTTCATTGAATGCTGCACTGGATATAGTAAAGATAAGTGATGTTGCAGAGCCTTTAGTAGTATCCGATGTGGATCGTATTGTTATTTCAGAAGATGCATGTACACATCATGTATCATCTGAAGCAACGATACCATCCGTTTCTATTACCTCTGAGGAATTGCCATCATTTATTCTTGATGAGAATTGCATTGCAGCATTCAATGAAGAGTGGACGACCACTCCTTCACTGAATGCTACAATGCAATCCTCTTCTGTAATGAATTTTCCTCCCCCACCTTATTCCGAAGATGATGCCGTGAAATATATTGCACCGCTACTCCCCATGGCTCCAAACAACGAAAAAAATATACGTCAACTATATCAGCTAGGCTGTGATTATATTTATGCCAATAATGCACGTTTGACAAAACGCCCTGGTTCAGACGCCTATTGGCGTCTGAATTCCAGGGTGTCGAAGATCGGTAGGATGAAGGGTGCACTAGCACATCGATTATTTAAAAATACAAACTATAATCAAAATTTTAAGTTTGCATTAAAAAATAATATTAACATGGATCAACTAAATATATTGTTTCGGATAAATAAATATTAGATTCTTTCCACTTTCCCCATTTACACCCATCCCTCTTTCCCTTTTTTCCTGACGACGATGCTATGTTGGGTTCCCGTCCCGTCGTTGAACAATGCGAAAATATTTTGACATCTAAATTTTATTTTACTTATTTTGGCAACGGAAAGCATTGACTGAAACATAGCTCTTTTGTTCATGTTCATCTTTTTCTTTTCCCGTGTTATGCAACCCGTATATATTGAACTTGTATAAAGCAGGTGCCTTTATAAAAGGTTGCATAGTACATCTTTATTAAA